CCCAGATAGACTAATTACTTGAAGGTAAGATAACTTTCAGTATCTTTACATGGCATATCTAAACGTATATTAATAAGTCTGTGATGGAAATTAACCTGCACGCGCTTCCTGATGTCTTGAAGGTTGTGCTCCAGTATCTGCTGCTTCTCTGTCACTACTGTCCCAGTGGGATGGGCTGCCTGGCCGTCCTGTGAAAGGATAAAAGATATGCCAATGTAGAGCCATTGTGCCAGTTCATACCTTTTAATGATGAAAGTTTCAAATGAAACCATGAAGACTAAAAGCAGGTTTGTGTGGCTACCTGTGTAGCAGACGTGGCAGTCTGCAGCAGCCTTTGTTCCTCCCACAAACAGCGAGCAACAATGCGGGCGATATCCATTGGCTTCTCCAAGTACTTGCTCTGCAGATGCTGTTTAATCCTGCGCAGGTTATGCTGGTAGAGTACATTGTTCTCCTGCAGGAAACGGCTATACTGCTGGTCTATTTCTCCCAAGAGGTTGTGGAAAACCAATGTGGCATGTGATTCCTTATTGGCAGCATAAGCCCTTATAAAAGACAAGGTAAAGTAATCAGGATACAATGATTTATAGTTAAGCATTCCCCACCTCCAACAAGAGATCCTAATGAAAATTTCATTTTGTGAAAACTTTTTTCCCTTATGCCTCCTGCAACTGAATCCAAGTCTATCAACATACACAACGCAACAATTATGCAGATGGTCAGGATCACTGGGGAATACTATAGAAGCCAGATGATGGTATGTGCCCCAATATTCTTCTTCTTCTTTTTTTTTTTTTTACTTTGAGACAAACTCTCTTTTTCAGGAGTTTCAAGTTCATCCTACACACTACTTACCAAACAAAAGAAAGGGAGACAGAAAATATAACCTGCTTTGCAGACACCACTACAACTTTGAATTTCATGAAAAAAGAAAAAAGCTAGAATAAAGTGTCATTGCACAACATAAAACTGTTCAGGTGCACTGTGGGACATTATATGCATGTAATTTCTGCAATGATGTTATGAGATAAAAAGAAAGAAAAAGGTCACAGTAAATGTTAAAAAGTGATAACTTTCTCTGTGGTAAGGTATCAGGAAGTCGTGAGTGCAGAACTAGTCAGGAGGGAGTGAAGCAATTTCTGATGATGAAAGCAATTTCAAGGGACGGGTTAACAAACAGGAGGAACAACGTATAGTTTCTGTATAGACCTAGGAATTCAGTTATTTCTTACCAGTCCTGACTCTCAATCCAGGGGGCAAGGAACTGCCGTAGCTCCATTGGGAAGCTGTCACTGTACAAGTGGTACAGTTGCTCCAGATACCTGGTCTCCAGCTGCTGTAACTGGTTCCACTGGGCCATCCTGACATATGCTGCCTCAAACCTACACAAAAAAGATGACAGCAACAACACAAGTTAAGCAGGATCCCCAGAGAATGCCTCTGGTAGGATGTATATTGTGATTTTTTAAAATAACAGCCTCACTTAGCTTAACAGGATAACTCTTACACTCGACAGAGGGAAATATCTAAATATCATGTTTTCTCTGGAAACGATGACAGGCCCCTGGGAGGCCTCCTATTCAGCACAGTCACTTCCTGTTCACTGAAACACTGCGCCTCCACCAAGATATATAGGCCAATGTGAACAGCTGTCAACACCTTTGGTAGATAGGAGTTAATGATCTCTGGCCAACGTTTTACCCCAACGGTATTCGCTAGAAACAAAGTCCCACTTCCTTTTCTCAGCTCTTGAAAAACTGCCAGCTTAAAACCAGAGAAATGGCTCTTTATATCTTGTAGAATGTAATTTGAGCAACACTCTTTCATTAATTGTAAACCACCTGCTGGCAGAGACAGCTATTACCCATTGGATTCGCAAGACAGGCTCTGATAGCCTTTTCATCATATCAGCAGAAGGCTAAGTTGTTCCTTGGAGGTTTTCAGATGGTGTATTAACAATAACCTGGCATTCAACAAATCCAACAAAAAGTTGTGTCCTTTGCCATCCCTATTAAATAACAGACTGAGGCCTTTGTTTAATCATTGCATAACATTTTGGATAGTGGAATGTAACAGAAAGACTACCAATACCTACAGCCTCAATACTTAGTATTGAGTAAATCAAGTCTTGTCCACAACAAACGAAACAATATAGGCTTTACAAAACTGACTTTATTGCAAGGTTCCATTTTTTACTTCTTTTTCCACCATAGCCAATATTTTGAAAAACTGAACCTAAAAAACCTGTGAGTAAGTAACAATATTAATAACAGCCCCAACTCCATTTAGGTGTGACACCGCTGTCAGACCTGAAAGGAATAAAGCCATTATCAGTGTTAATAATAAGAACTGTCAACTATCAACGGCGCAAAACGGTCTATTGTAATTGACCGTAAAAGGAATACTTAATGGACTGGTAACTCAGTATGAGGTTCCACGTTATTGTATAATTACTTTAAGGAAACCTGAAATATAGTGTTTTTTTGTTTTTTTTTTAAGTTTCATGTAATTCATGCCATCTTACTCTCATTGCATCATATCGGAAGGGATTTTTGTCTCACAATTGGTGCATATGACCCATGTTCCTCTTTCACTGACATATGAAAAAGATGCTTATATATGCTGTGAATTTCTGGGAATTTGAAAACCCTACGAGGATCACATCAGAGAGCAGCTGAGTCATAATCAACACAACAAGAATTCCTTCAATTTATCTGAAATTCCAAACAGTATCTCAACTTGGTGCTACGTTTTGCATTCTATCCACAGATAATAAGCCAAGAGGCTTATTAAAATAAATCTGCAGACATCTTTTCAAAGTTACACTTTTACTATATAACATTTCCACTACCTTTATCATGTCTCACCATATGTTTTATGAAATAAACTCACCACTTAAAACAAGTGGGTCAACTACTCTGACAAAAGGTAGAGACCCTCCATGAGAACTCTGTAGAATTATCAATAAGCTCATCTATACAGTCACAAAGACAGCAGTTAGTGTTTTATGGCTGATGAACAATTATTTTAAACAAATCCATTGTTTATGTCAGATACTAAAGCATCTAAAAGTTAATTTGTATGGTAAGCTGATACAGTAATGGGCCTAGAAAGTCTGAACATATTGTCTGTTAGTCAGATTACATATACATTTTGTCTTGGTCAAACACATTGTAAATGATAGATGATGAGGACCCTTTCAAAGATGCTCACATTTCACAAATATTGATCCAGGTGCCCAGGCAAAGATTCTACCTTAAATCCACATCTTACTCTGAACTGCTAAACTCATTCTGATGGTGTGCAAACAGATTTCACAAGACAATATGTCAACAATTTCAAACTTTCAGGCAAACAAGGTGTGTTTGTCCACTGCCCAATGTCGGGTAGTGATTTACCACTAACGGTAAAACACAGTGTGATTCCCTAATGACATGATATTCCAGGAAGTACTTCCTTAAACAGACAAAGAAAACAGAAACCATGTCAAGTTGACATTTGTACGATCTATGAAAATACAGGCGACAATAAAATCACTATTATGTATGACATTACACAAAATGTGATAGATTATGATGTGTCATGCTTTCAAGCAAAAAAACTGTGGTATCTATCAGTAGTGTAGTGGCCTGATAGGCTACAACTCTGACTTCACAGTTGAATTGGCAGCTCTTAATATAGTATTTCTGAAAAATCTATCTCTGCCAAACACCTGTGGAAATAGGATTATGTGAAAGTATGGACAAATCGTTTTTAACATGAAATTTGTGTAATGGAAGAATTGAATTCCATTGAATGTTGTGAGACGTGTTGGCCTGCAGGTAGGATGGAGATGGGCGTGACAACTGAAAACAAACACAATACAATGACCCAAATTATACTGGCTCTAAATACCAGTAAAAAACCTTCGTCAACGGCACTTTACCAGTGATCAATATCAAACTAGAGCACATGAACAACACAGAAAAAAATACACTTAGAATAACAAGACTATGAATTCTGGTTGTAATATTAACTTCGTAAGATGCAAACAGAACCGAAAAGGCCCAGTTATAACGCAGAGACAGTTTAATAACTTATGTAACACCACGTCCACCGAAGGTTTCCTCAGCATGAGTAACTTATAACGTAGCCCCAGTGCTGCAACAGTAGTGTTGTACCCTTGTGGATAGCACAGCTAGCTTGGCATTAATGTCGTCTGCTGTCACGTTTCAAAAGCCTCGTATTTAAGAAAGATTCTAGATACCAAATGGAGAAGTCGGTTTTTAGTGGCTTACCTTGCTCGCTGTCACTTTTTTTTTGAGGGGGGGGTAGAAGTTTCACCGTCAAAAACAGCAACCTTTCAACTATACTGCACTGACTTCAATAGTCAGTGAGAAGTTTTTTGTTTTTTTTCTGAACCCACAAAAAAATGGAGCGAACACTCAGTAAAAGCTCGTAACTCTTTTCTCTTCACAGCCAACACGAGAAACAGTTGTCCGACGCAAGAGCACTGCTTCTGGCCCAACCCATTCCCTACATTGCAGTCTTTCCAGCCACACAAACCCTATGGCTGCTTTATTGACAACTCTAACCGCCAATTACAGTGGGCGAATCTGCTGGAGCCAATCAGAAAGCAGTATGGGATCACAATAGGCGGGACGGTTACAGCAAGATTAGTTGAGGTTGCTCTGTTTACTGCTGTCGCAACTGAGCTGTTCCGTCTAGCACACCCTCCCCGCTGGTGGAGCGCAAGCAAACCCGAGCAGTCGTCGTTCCGGAGGGAGGTCGAGCATTTCGACAGAACAGCCAGCCTGGAAGTCATCTGAGTTACTGGCAATGCCGACGTCATCAAGACTTTAATAACGCCAGTGCTGTTTATTATTGACCCCCTCCAATCAAAATTCACTGTCTGGTTTACCCAAGCCTGTTGTCACAGTAGAATACGACATATAATCTGACACACGAGGATACAAAAGGCCCATAAAAAGCATTAAAGCAAAATAACAGGCAGTATACAGTTTATTATTCAGTAAGCCTTTATTTATAATGAGATGGTTAGGCAAAAAAATAACCTTAAACACAACAGAATCAGGCAAGCTTCATTACTTGTGTATGAATCAGTAACACCAAGAGCAACTACATGCCACACTATGTTGCAGCAGTATGACTACTTTATTCTCTGTCTCTACATGGACATAGTATGGTCTACCTCACATTTATAGCAAGCTGGTTTATTATTACTACTATGTTTTTAATAACCAGTAGCTTCAAACAAAGCAAAAATGTACATGAGGGCAAAATCACACATTTCTTAAAAGGGAACAATATCTTACAGGTGTTACTGAGACAATTTAAATATCTGTGTCAAAAAAAGTCAATAAAAACACAATGCTATAAAAATCCCAAGCCTATCTGATTTTACAGGCCTGTAACTGATTTCTTTTTTATTTTATGACACGTCCACTTCATGCTTAGGTAAATGGTATGCACATACCACACACTCGCAAACACACACACACACACACACGCATACAGACAAGCATCATTGTTCTCTGTCTTTCTTACTGTTCCCTACCCTGCTCAGTACTCACAGAGAGCACTCTACTTAATTGCATTTCCCCCCCCTGCCCATTGATTATTTTAATGGCGCTCCATGCTACACAGTGGGCCTCCTACGCCACATCAAGGTCACACCTCCTCTCCAGGGAGGAAAATGGAAGCCATACATTCACATTGTTCCTGTCTTGAAGCCCTGTGCTCTTGCCTTGCATGATCAAATGTGGCTATGATTAAACATTGCCCTTGTCATATTACACTGGGTTCAGAATAATTGTGATTGCAATAGTGCCCTCTGACCCTGCATGCATCTCTGCCTCATAATTACAACCTCATGTCATGATTTATGGTCAGATGGCTGTTTTTTTTTTTTTAGTGGGTGTAAAAGTCCACAAGATTGCACCTGGTCTCTGTAAAATTGTTTGTGGACAGGATTATACTGTTGCGGCGTTGTGACATTTATTAAAGTGCCATTCCATTCATAATACCTGGCAGGTTGCTGTCTCCGTTCAGCCGCATTTAGGATGACATTTTCCTCTCCACCTGTTACGTATTCAGTCATTAAGCTGTCATCTTGCTTCTCAGTTCATCCTTTTTCTGCCTGCAATTATTTTTGAAAAATTTAATAGGGTTGTGCAAAAGTACTGTGATGAGCTGTGACCATGGTGACGCAGTCATTTTATTCTCTTTTGTGCAGCAATGTGTTATGTGAAACTTGGTGAGTACAATATGTCCAACATATATGACGCTGAGAATGTACATCAGGAGAGTACAGTAATTGATGATCAAACCATGTCTCCACGCATGCATTGATAAAATACACAGCAGCACATATTACATTCTATATTTCATTAAATTAAGGCTGAAATGTTTTATTGAGCGACCAGTTTAGGAAACAAGAATATAGTAGCACGAGATATTTCCTCTCACAATAATATAGTATAACTTAATGCTCAAAGCAGGTTTTTAAGGACTGTGGGATCCTTTGTCACTATCTTTTTAATCAAAGCACAAAAAATGTACAAACAGGACAGGACTTGCTGTCTGTCTTCAAAAAGACAGAAAGTGAGGTCCTATAATGAGTATCTTTTCCTTTTTAGTGTGGTGTTGTAAGTGTTTAAACATCCTGATAGTTGGATTTGTCAGTGTTTCAATGTTCCCAATATAATTTATTAGACATCACACATCTATTTTCAGTCATTTACACTTCAGTCTTTAACATTGGCAAACATTACACTGTAACAATTGGCACAATGTTTGAGTGATTGTCAGTAAGTTTTGTAAACCCTTTAGACTAAGTCCAGTCTCACTCAACTCCTCTCCTCTAGCACTCACAGTTTTTCTGTAGGCCCAAACCTTGTCTACCTTTTAGTTTCACACATGCACATTACATTACTTAAACCATCCATTACATCACTACAACAACACATCTTGCCGCCAACTTTCTTTTACTATACATATGAATGTGCATATGATTCATGGGAAATACTGAACATTACGTCTTTTTTTGTTAGTTTCATTTTTGATAGCCACACAGTGAGTCAAACCAACAACAAACAGCAAATACTCTGGACATAAAAGTCTAGAAAAACCAGTCAGCCTGGAGGATATTTCAAAAGCTAGCTTTGTTTTTGTTTTGTTTTTCTTTTTTGTACGCTAAATATGAGCAAATATGAAAGTCATCCCTGCTGGGTAAAATAAAAAGGAAAAAGAAACAAAATAAGTTGTCATAGATTGTGATCACGTCGAGAAAGTCCCCATGACCATTACTGTGTCCTTGTGATTAGACTCTTTCATTACGACTCGGTTTCCTTCGTCATCCTACTATTTCTTCTTTTGCAGCCCTGTAGAGCTAAGAGGCTTTATTCACTTTGGGCTTTTTTTAGGTGGTCTGGCTCCACGCTGACCAGCTGAGAGTCTTCAGTCACTGCCAACAAGGTCTCCATCTCTGGGCTGTCTACACTCACCAGCTCACCTTCCTCCACCTCCACGTGCAAACCCAGCCCGTTCTCCTCTCCCCCAGACTGAACCTCTGCCTCGGACACCTCCACCATCTCTGTGTTCTGCACCACCTCCTCCTCTCCTTCTCGAATCTTCTTAACGTGGAAGGTAAAGGGGGGTACGCGGTACACGGTGGTCTTGGAGCGAGCGTACACCGTGTGGTCAGGGGTGAGGGACTTCTTCACCTTCTCTTTGGAGGTCTTCATCTTCGCCCTGCGCTCCTGGGTGGGAGTCATGCGGGTCCCGAGCTTGCCAATCTTCTTCTCGAGGCTGTGTTTGGTTTTCTCCAGGTTGTCACGGGTTCTCTGTCTTGTCTTCTCCAGGTTCTCGCGGGTTCTCTGCTTGGTCTTCTCCAGGTTCTCCTTGGTCTTTAGTTTGGTCTTCTCCATTTTCTCTTTGGAGAAGGCTTTCTTTATGTTGTCTACCTGCTGTTTGGTGGTGCGTTGGAAGCGCTTTGTACGAGACTCTTCGATAATCTCCTCGATCTCCACCTCTTCATCTGAATTGAGACCGGCTGGAAATCCCTCTTGTCCCTCCTCAGGTATTTGCTCAAGGCCCTCCACTGCTTTACCTTCAACTACTGTCTCTCCTGTCTTGGTTTTGGATGCCTTTGGTGGCTTGACTTGGTCCTGAGGACACAAAAAAGGGAAAGATAAGAAAGACAGAAGACTATCAAGCTACAGCAGCAGCAGTATATTAAAGGATTACAGAGTGTGAATTGAATAACATTTTCAATTTGACATTTACTACAATATCAGCAGACGTGGTGCTCCACTGATTGTATTGCATGATTAATGTAAATTATGGCATTTCATTTAATACGTCGTGCAAATTGTCAGCCTGAGAAAGTCAAGATAATGGACGTTGGGTGAGAAATGAAAATGAAAATGTGAGCATGATACTTTGCAGAGGCATGTGTCATTTCAGTGCACAGCAGTTCAGAGTTTACAGCTGGTGCAGAGTGCCACCTAGTGGTGCCAACAATCATCATGCCAATTTTATTTATTTATTTTTTTTTTCAGGTTTTACATTTTAAGTCTAAAAGACAGAAGAGCACAAGCTGGTGTACTCACATGCACTGTATGACACAGCACTGAAATATTAACACCACAATGTGCTTTAAAGGAATCCTATACTTAAGGCAAAATTCACCAAACTGAAACAAAAGACAACTAACTGTGGTATCTAACCACAGGTATATTTCCTGCCATTGTGCAATCATTTCTGTATAAAAGCTAAAATCCACATACTGTGTTCAGTCTTTAAGGTTTAATTTTCCATCAAAATAACAATAAGCAATTCTAGCTTACACCTATGTACAGAAACATTCAGAAAAACTATCATTATCTATAAATTCTAAAAGGTTTGTTATTTAGAAAGCTGCTTTGATTTCCCTGGAAACGCTCGGTGGTTAGTACAGTTTCAGTTTATCATTAACACAGTAGTTTCACACATGGTCAAAAATATCTCTATAAGTAAACTCAGAAGTAGGCTCGTACTATCGGTTTTGCTTCCAGTCATACTGAAAGGTGGCCCTCTGTAAAACCAGATGCCTACGCTTATATTCCTGCCTACTCTTACTTCACCATTTAGGGGTAAAGGTTACAATTCCACAGTGCACATGGGACTGCAAAAAGGTTTTCCATGAGTCCACAAACGAAGGGCATGTCTTTGTAACCGCACACACACGAACAACAAACTATACTGCTGCAATGCTAACAGCTGCCAATCAATCATCACAACAGCAATCACATTTCCATGTTGTTTGGCAGGACTCTATCAGTGTGGTACCATGATATTCACACAGGGAGAAGCAGTATTATGCTAAGAATATGATCCCCCCTCAGCAGCATGTCTATGATCCCTGTGGGGATTAGTGGTCCCACCCAGCTGCACCTCACTCCCACACCTCACTGCGTCTCTGTGGATTTCAGCAGAGAACTGTGGCCATCTTCAGTGACTTTGTAGATACACTCACTGCTGTTAGATTGAAAGAAAAAAAAAAAAAGGAGACGATAGTAGTTTTATAGAAATGTTAAACTAAGTCACCATGGACTTTTTTATTTTTAAAACATAAAAACTGAGACTGATATTCTGAACTGATGTTCCTCTCTTACAATTTTAATAAGTTTATATTTTCACTATTTACACAGCATAATAAAAAATAGCGAATTACAAGAACTTATTTATTGAATTATTTTTATTACTACCAGTGTGGGAAAGCTGCAACACTAAAAATGTCGACCCTTAGATTCAGAATTCAAAAAAATATTCTTGTGATTACTTTTACAGCTCTGTATGACTTTCTTACGCCAGATTCAGAACTTAACAAGACTGTGCCTCTCAAGTTGTGGCTCCTAGACTTCAGAACTCATTTTCATTTAAATGTGAGAAACTAAATATATCTCCTCCAGACTAATTCTCAGAGTACAGGCTTAGTAATAGCAGGAGTCTGTTTATCTTCTCCGTCTTTTGAATGAATAGCTGATTGAACTATTTTCACGTTATTAACACTGTTAAAATAGTTTATTAAGCCAGCAATAATTTTTGTAATTAATCATCACTGCCATCATGTCAAACAACCAGTTTTGTTCAATGACAAGTAAACATCTTCATCATTGTGATTTAAAGTGTATTTCCCTCCCCCACCTCCTCGCTGTCACTTCAGATTAAATCATCGCTGGCTCTGCTCCTCTCTGTCCCTTTTCTCATCTCATGTAACACAACAAACAAGTACTACATCCTCTTTCGCACACATATATAGTATTTTATAATGACAATGCAAGTCAGTAAAATGTGACAACTCACTTCCATTGGGGAGTCTTGTGACATCTAGTAATCTTGAAATGAGAGGTACTTTAGACTTACAGTACTCACAGGGTGGAGCACAGGACAAATTTAAATACATAGTTAAAATTATACTTATATAACTTTAGTATATATATTAGTTAAAAGTAAAGCTTTTTTTTTTACAGATCAACAGTTTGTCACTGTTTTTGTAAAATAAGTGTTTTTCAGCAAAAGCAACAAAATTCACATAATTCATTAAGTAACTTGTGGTATTCATGGGAAAAAAAAAAAGATTTTATTCCTAATATTTGACTTCAGAAAAACACCTGTCAGATCACATAAGTGGCACATTTCCCTGGGAAGTTAAACACCGCCATACGATCCTATCATAAAATGCACATTGAATCCTTATCTGGTGCTGTGTATGGTGCGGTCCTGGCCAACCCGCTCTGTATGGGTTTATTTTGGGCTGGCCTTTCCCTCTCTCTGAATTCCATCTACCGTTCTCTGGCTACCAGCCACTGCAGCGCTCAGTCTTACCGACACCCCCAACCAAACAACACCCTCCCCTCACGCACAGCAACAGATATACACAGCGCTGTGTCGCCACAGCAACCACCTCCTCATGTTGTCTCTGGTGGGTGGTGAAGTTCAGCCGGATAAACAGCTGACATCTATACAACAATATACTGACATGACGTTCTCAGTTGTTCTGAGTGTATCACAATTAAACTAAAATAAATACTGCACCTGCTTTGTACACATGTATACTTAGGAAAGTGGGATTGAGTTATAATAATAACATTAATGGAGGATATTTTTGACTGCATGAGCACATAACTCAACTGGAACATTTTTCCATGTATTTTCCTGAAAAGTGATGAGATTTTTTTGCCAGAACTAAGTGAAGATTGAAAAATAAAGCCACATAGAATAAGCATGTGTTCTCACAGAGACTTAAAATAAATAAATAAAATTAAAATTAAAATAAAAAAACATTGTACACTGTGAATGACTGCGTAAGAAGCTGTGACCTCATATGTCCCGAGCAGAACTTGTTTGCTGCTGTGGGGGGAGTTTGACTGAGGGGCTGAATTACTAGTATTATTTGTATTTAATAAATAGAGGGACACAGTTTTTTCCATAAAGTATGAACACCTGAACAGGAAGCGTCTGTAAGCAATGGAAAACAGAGTGCTGGGAACGCTGGGAGCAGGTGAAGTCATAAATATCAGGAAAAATACAACATGGTGAAGGACAAGACTGTCTCACTAATGCTATGTAATGCTAATCAAGATCATCACTGCCCAACGTCGTGGTGTTTTTCTGGGAATCCTTTTTGACTTTAACTTTAAAATTGAAGGAAAAAAGCACAAGGAAAATGCTCAAGGATTTTTTTTTTTTTTATTAAAGGTCCCTGGTTTAACAGTTCCACATGTTGTTGATCAAATTACAGTATTATGCCGACTCTTGTACTGTGAGAGTATAGACTGACGATGATATTAAAAATTTGTTGTTTAAAATATTTTACCTTTAATACATAACTACATAACAAAAAACAATCTTGATATGAACCCTTTAATTTTCTTCCTTTTTCTTTTTTTAAATGGTGGAACATATACTTTGTGGAACATTTAACAGTGTCAAATCAACTTTTCAGTATTCTTGGGTGGGCAGACGATGTAATGGTGCTTCAGATTTAGTGATTTAGATAAAACGTTTATGTTTCATACATCATTTTGATGGACTCACAAAATAATGTCGTCATTGAGGCAACTTAATATGAGAAATTTAAACACTGTTTGTGTTTTCAAGATTTAAATATTGTGTGTTAAAATACGCAAAAGCAGGTGCAAATTTTAAAAAGTTAATCAGAGAAAATCTTGCTGCATTAATTAATTTAAAAAGCTTCAACATAAAAACAACCCAGAAGAACTGCGGAAGAAAATCTAATGTTACTAAACGTTACTTAAGTTCTAAAGTTTGTCAACTTCAAAAAAAGTTTTTATAATTACAGCAATTAACATTTAAGAACTCCTGTTAAATAACATTGAAACACTAGTTGGAGTAACTTAATTTTATGAGTAACCAACTTAAAAACTTGTATTTATGCTGCCAATCGTTAAATAACGAAAAATACTTTTGACTGTGGAAGAAAAACTAATTTCCGTCACCCAGTGTAGTTTAGTAGTTAAATATAATTTCATTAGAAGTTGGCATAACTCAGAAAGACTGAAGCCTCCTGTTGTGTTAATCTGTCTTTTAGAGCGTACTTTGCAACGTACACACAGACACCAAAATACAACCATACAAGTAAATATTGTCCTGGCTAAACTATGAGTCTACTAGACAGCATTTTAATGAATTTGGATGCACATTTTTAAAATGCTTTAGTTGTTTTTAAGACTTTCAGGGCTCATGGGAACGCTGCTTGTTGAAACATTTCACTGTTTACATTCTGAAACCCTGACTCAGCCAGCTCTGTGGAAATTGTGATAATATCAGTGGACCCTGTTTGGGTTTCCCAGCTTGATTACAAAGCTCGAGAACTAATATGTTAAGTCCATTAGCGTCCCTGTGTTACCTTCCGACCTCCTCCCACTTCACAGCAGTGGAAAAGTCTGCACTGTGCATGTGTTTGTGTGTTTACCACCAGGTGCCAGGGGAATGGTGACAGACTATGTATGCTCTATTCAACAAGTAGAAAGTTTCTTGCTGATGCTTCTTCCTCCCAAAAGTGGCATGAATCATAACTTATGGAAAAGTTGGCTAGAAAGTGCGGGAACTCTCTCTCTCTCTCTCTTTGAGCGTGTCTTTGGGTTGCTCAGACAAGCCAACA